GCTTTTAGTTTTTGCCCAATGAATATGATGTTGGCTGTAGGTTTTTCATATATGATCTTTATTATGTTGAGATATGATCCCTCTATTCCCACTTTGCTAAGGGTTTTTATCAGAAATGGGTGCTGAATTTTGTCAAATGCTTTTTCAGCATCTATAAATATGATCATATGGTTTTTATCTTCTTTTTTTTTCTATATCCTCACCCAAAGATATTTTTCCATTTATCTTCAGATAGAGTGTAAGGTGGGGAGAGAGAGAGACAGAATGAGAAACATTAACATGAGAAAGACACATCAACTGATTGCCTCCCGTAAGACCCCAAACAGGGCTGGAGACCGAACCACAACCAAGGTACATGCCCTGGACTGGAATCAAACCTGAGACTCTTTGGTCTGTGAGCCAACACTCTAACCACTGAGCCAAACCGGCTGGGGCTACCTTTCATTTTGTTTATATGGGGTATCACATTTATTGATTTGCAAATATTGTACAAGCCTTGCATCCTTGGGATGAATCCCACTTGGTCATGGTGAATAATATTTTTAATATATTGCTGGATCCTATTTGCTAATATTTTGTTTAGGATTTTGACATGTATGTTCATCAGGGATATTGGCCTGCAGTTTCCTTTCTCTGTAGTTTTGGAATGAGGATAATGCTGGCCTCATAGAAAGAACTTGGAAATCTTCCTTCTTCTTGAATTTTCTGAAATAGTTTGAGAAAAATGGGTGGTTAGTTCTTCTTTGACTGCTCGGTAAAACTCCCCTGTGAAACCATCTGGACCTGGGCTTTTGTTTGCTGAGAGTTTATTGATTACAGCTTTAATTTCCTTAGTTGTTATTGGTCTCTTCATGTTTTCTGTCTCTTCCCAGTTCAGTTTTGGGAGACTGTGATTCTAGAAATGTGTCCATCTCACCTAGGTTGTCCAATTTGTTGCTATATAATTGTTCATAGTATTTTTTAACAAGCTTTTGTATTTCTGTGGTGTCAGCTGTTACTTCTCCTCTTTTGTTTCTGATTTTGTTTATTTGGGTCCTCTCTCTTTGTTTCTTGGTGAGTCTGGCTAAAGGTTCATCAATCTTGTTTATCTCTTCAAAGACCAGCTCTTTGTTTCATTGATCTTTTGCATTGTTCTTTTCTAGTCTCTGTGTCATTTATATCTGCTCTGATCTTTACTATTTCTTTCCTTCTACTTGATCTAGGTTTTTCTTTTTATTTACTTTCCAGTTCTTTAAGTTTTAGGGTTATTTCACAGATCTAGAACAAATACTTCAAAAGTTTATATGAAACCATAAAAGACCCCGAATAGACACAGCAATCTTAAAAAAGAACAAAATAGAAGGGATCACAATACCAGATATCAAGTTATACTACAAAGCCATTGTAATCAAAACAGCCTGGTACTGGCACAAGAACAGGCATATAAATCAATGGAACAAAAGAGAGAACCCAGAAATCGACCCAACACAGCATGCATAATTAATATTTGACGAAGGAAGCAAGAGCATACAATGGAGAAAAGACAGTCTCTTCAATAAATGGTGTTGGGAAAATTAGACAGCTACATGTAAAAAATAAAATCAGACCACCACTTATACCATACACAACAATAAACTCAAAATGGATAAAAGACTTAAATGTAACTCATGAAACCATAAAATTCCTAAAAGAAAATGTAGGCAGAAAAATCTCAGACATCATACATAGTGGAATTTTCACTGATACACTGCCTAGGGCAAGAAAAACAAAGGGAAAAATTAATAAATGGGATTGCATCAAACTAAAAAGCTTCTACATAGCAAAAAAAAAAAAGCAGCATCAAAATGAAAAGGAAACCCACTCTCTGGGAGAACATATTTGCCAATGATACATCGAATAAGGCGTTAATATCCAAAATATTTAGAGTAGTCATACAGGTCAACAAAAGGAAGACAAATAATTCAATTAAAAAATGGGCAGAGGACCTGAATAGATACTTCTCCAAACAGAACATACAAATGGCCAGGAGACATATGAAAAAATCTCTAATCATCAGAGAGATGCAAATTAAAACTACTATGAGATATCATCACCTAACCACTGCCAAAATAGCAGCCATCAACAAATTCTCAAACAAGTACTGGAGAGGATGTGGAGAAAAGGGGACTCTAGTACACTGCTGGTGGGAATGCAGACTGGTGCAGCGACTATGAAAAACAATACCGTGTTTCCTCCAAAAATTAAAAATGGAACTTCCATTTGACCCATGATCCTACTTCTTGGAATATATCCTAAGAAGCCTGAAACACCAATCAGGAAGAATATATGCGCCCCTACGTTCATAGCAGCGCTATTTACAATAGCTAAGATCTGGAAACAGCCCAAGTGCCCATCAGTAGATGAGTGGATAAAAAAGCTGTGGTAAATTTACACAATGGAGCACTATGCCATTTTGAGAAAGATCTTTTACCCTTTGAGACGACATGGAGGGACCTGGAGAGTAATATGCTGAACGAAATAACCAGTCAGAAAGAGAGTAAGTACTACATGATCTCTCTTATTTATGGAACATAATGAACAAAATAAGCTGTCGACCAAAAGAGACCCAGAATCATGGAAGTAGGGAACATACTAACAAATCTCAGAGGGATGAGGGGAGGGGAAGGAGGGAGGGGTGGAAAGAGATAAACCAAAACACTTATATGTATATATGCACAACCAATGGACACAGATATTAGGTTGGAGAAAGCAGGAGAGGGGGTTGGGAGTGGGAAGAATGGAGTCAACAGGCAAAAAGGGGGACATCTGTTATACTTCCAAAAATAAAAAATAAAAAGGTTTAATAATAAATTTCAAAGGACTGAAATCCTACCAAGTATATTCTCTAACCACAACAGAATTAAATTAGAAATCAGTAACAGAAAGATCTGAACTTTTCCCAACATTTTGGAGTTAAATAATGTAGTTAAATAATGAAGTAATCCACAAAACAAAGAAAACTATTACAGGATAAATTTTAAAATATTTTGAACTAAATAATAATGAAAATACATATAAAAATGTGTGGGATGCAGCTAAACCAGTGCTTCTGGCTTAGAGAGAAATTTACAGCTTCAAATGGCTATATGAAGAGAGGTGTACAATCAATAATAATAAAAATTTCTACATTAATAAGCTGGAAAAAGAAAAGCAAGGAAGTAGAAGAAAGGATATTATAAAGTTAAAAGCAGAAATCAAGTGAAAAAAAAGGAAAACAATACAAAAACAATCAACAAAGTAAAAGTTGGTTCTTGACAATTATTAAAAAAAGGGCTAAACCTCTAGCAAGACTGATCAGGGAAATAATAAATAAAAAAATAAACTGCCAATGTAAAGAATAAAAGGGAAAACATAACTATATACCTTACATCAATTAAAGAATAAGAAGAAGATAATATGAACATTAAGACAATAAATTTGACTCCATAAAGGTATGAACAAATTCTTGAAAACTGCAACAGAAAATAGAAAATCTGAATAGTTCTATAGCTTCTAAAAAAATTAAATTCATAATTACAATATTTCCCAGAAAGGAAGTGTGATCCCCAGATGAATTCCCTAGTAGATTCTATTAAACATCTAAATAAAAAATAAAGGCAATCTCATACAATCTTTTAGAAAAGAACAAAAAAATTGAATAACTCCCCAATTATTTTATGGGACCAGAATAACTATGATACCAAATTTAGGCACACACATTAAAAAAATAAAATAAAGTTATACTAATATACATCATAAATCTAGACATAAAAATCCTTAACAAAATAACAGCAATAAGCCCTGGCTGGTTTGGCTCAGCAGTTGGAGCGGCAGCCCGAGGATCAAAGAGTCACGGGTTCCATTCTGGTCAAGGGCAGGTACCTCGGTTGCAATTCGGTCCCCAGCTCTGGGAGGGGTCATGTGGGAGGCAGCCAGTCTATGCGTCTCCCTCACATCTATGTTTCTCGTTCTCTCTCTCTCTTTATCTCTGTCTCTCCTGCTCTATCTGAAGATAAATGGAAGAATATCCTTGGGTGAGAATTTTTTTAAAAATAAGTAAATAGCAGCAATAAAAATCCTGCAATATATAAAAAGCATAATACTTCATGAACAAGTGAAGTATTTTTTTATCCTATCAATGCAAAATAGATTTAACACTAAGAAAAATAAATGGAACTCACAAATTAAAGGTGGAAACTAATATATGCAAACTTCAATAAATGTAAAAAAAAGTCTAACAAAGTTCAATATCCATTCATTCCAATATGTAATACAATTATGCCACTTGCCAGTAAAGATACCTTTCATTCTTTCTAATCTGTATACCTATATTTTTTCCTTGCCTTAATGTACTATGTATGTATCCTGTCTTTGTGATTTTAGGAAGGAACTTTTAGTATTTTACCATTACATATAATGTTAGCTGTATGTTTTTAAGATGTCCTTTACCAAGTTGGAACAATTCTTCCTATTCCTAGTCTGCTAGTAATCAACAAAAAATTTGCATGGGAATTTTAGATTATTATATATATATATATATTGTGTACTAAGTCTTTGAAATCCAATTTGTATTTCATATTTAAGTCAGTATATCTGAATTTGGACTAAGCTACATGTTAAGTGCTTAGGAGCCACGTTGTTAGTGGCTGCTGGATGCTAATGCTGCATGACACATTTCTACGCATTTTACATGGATTACTTCATTATACCTCACAGAGGCACATACAGGGGAAAGTAACTTGTCCAGGTTCTCAGTTAGTGGTAGAATCAGGATTCTAACTCAAACAGCATGACTCAGATCTTCTTTGCCAAACCACCATACTATCCCACCTCAAATCAACCTTTTTTTTTTTTTTTTTTACAATATGATTGAAAGTTTCAATTCACCAAATTAATGCCATAATTCCTGCTTGAATATCATATATGCATTTTATGGAAACAAATTTCAGTCACATAAAACTGATTTTCCCCCCATAATTTAAAATCTGAAAGAACAGACTTACCATTAATATGAGTTTTTGATACTTTTGTTTTAGGTCTGCCATACTTGCAGATGAGTTTGCCCCCAGAATGCTGTACCAATCCTTTTTCGGTATCCGCTCAAATGCCATCATCCACTGAACAAGAAGTGAGCCTTCACAGATCAGCTGAATAAAAATATTGATGATAATTAAATTCAGTACAGTTTGCATGTATCTAAGAAATAAGTACTGCTTTAATCAGTTATTTAATATTTAACGATTTAGCTGAGTAAATTGCGATTATAATGCAAATCTGATGAAGCGTATACTTTTGTTTAAAACACCCACAGCCCTGGCCTAGAAGCTCCGTTGGTTAGTGCCAATACGCCAAGGTTGTGATTCCATCCCATCTAGGGCGCATACAAGAAAGAATCAACCACCCTGGCTGGTTTGGCTCAGTGGTTAGAGTGTCCGCCTGTGATCCAGAAAGACCTGGGTTCGGTTCCTGCTAAGGGCACGAACCTTCTTTGTGGTTTGTCCCCGGCCCTGGTTGGGTAGTACAGGTGGCAATCACTCGATGTGTCCCTTTCACGGCAATGTTTCTCTCTTTCTTTCTCTCCCTCCCACTCTATCTGATCTAATCCCACTCTGTCCTCAGGTGAGGATTAAAAATAAATACAAATAAAAACTTACATTAAAAAAAAAAAAGAATCCACCAACCAATGAATGCATAAATAAATGGAACAAGTATGGAAAACCTGTTAGATGTTCCCTGGTATACGTTATACTGTCAGGGTTAATTGAATATACAATAGCATTTTAAAAAACTGAATTCGATAATGAACCCGAGTGATGGATGAACCTCTAAGAAGATATTTTTGCTGGTCTTATGGTAAATGCGGCACACACTAAGTACTCACTAAATACATAGAAGAAGCTTAATAAACGTGTACAAAACAAATTAATATTTTTAAAACAAAGCAAAAGACCAAAGAATTCTGATGAATGTGGGAGCATTCCTCTTAAGTTTTCCAGTTCACTTTTCTTCCAAATTACCTTGAAAGAATGAGAAACAGCCAGTCACAGTGGAGGTAGCGAGCAGGAGACTGTTAACGGCCAGGCGTTCAGACCTCGCAAAGAGCCCCCAACACTGTCCTTTCGAGGATACTGTCCGTAGGCTCCAGGATACAGAAGACACCCCGCCAGGAGCCCCTGAAACCAGGCAACCTCTGCCCACAGCTGTCAACTTGAGGCAGCCAGGGCCTCCTCAAAAATGAGACTTGGGAATCCACTGGATTCCCGGGGGGCTCTATCGTCAGCCACAGGCGAGTACCCTCCCCTGGCTTCACTCGAAATCAAACTTACCAAACTTCAGGCATTGGGGACGGACTACCTGCAAGTGATCGGCCAAACCTCGGAACCGGCTTCTTCTTCCGCCGGAAGTTATTGCTCTGGCGTGACTACGTTTCTAGTCGTGGCGTGCAGGCCGAGACAACAGGAAGCGTCGCTCCGCCCACCGGGACGCCGTCGCTATGGTAACCAGTCGCCGCTTCCAAGGGGTTGACTAGCAGCGGTCAGCGCTAGAGCTGTGGAAAAAGACGACCTTCTCCTCGTTCTAAACTCCGTCCTGTCCCTGCTCCGTTACCGCCGCTTCTGTCTCCTGCCTTGGGGAGCACCCCATCCCTTCCCCAGAGCTTCCTCCGCTCGCCCGACCCAGCGCTGCTCCCCGTTCCGCGGTTGGTGAAGGTTGTGGCCGGGGTGGGGGCAGTGAGAAGGATGAGCACTGAGTCCTCTCTTGTCCCTGTGCTTCCCTTACAGTGTTCTCGTTCGAAAAGTTAAGAGAACTAAAACTTGGGCCGAATAGTTTTTTCGGTTACCCTTTTTTTTCTGGTAAAGGTGTTCAACCAAAGTATTTCCTTTAGATCTTAGCAACCAGCTTAAAAGATAAAAAATGTCTAAGTCCCTTCATAGTTACTGTCTCGCTTCACTTTCACTTCAACCCAGTGAAGCAAGTGAGTCCCGGGTTGTTTTCTCACTTTGTAGTAGAGGAAACACACCAAGGATCAAGTCCAAATGGCTAATTAGGAGGGCAGCAGAACAGGGCTCCTAGCACGTCTGCATACCCCCAGGGCAGCCATACCAACTTTGAAGCTCACAGAAACAGCAGAATCAGCTGCTCCACTTTGAGGTGGTTGCTGGGTATTCCGAATGGGCACAGTTAACTCTTTGGTTAGGTTTTTCACTCTTCCCTTTCCCCTTTTTTCCATTCTGCTTTTACCTTTTATCTTCTCCTTGCTGCTTACCTTACATTGACCTTTCTTCCTTGCATATGGTGGCAGCATGATTTAATTTCACTTGGAGATGTTAAGGTTGTTTTGTTGTTGTTACTGCTTAGATTTGCTTTCCTTTTTAAAAAAAAATTTTTTTAAATTCTCACCTGAGGACACTTTTTTTTTGTCCATTTATCTTCAGAGAGAGTGGGAGGAAGAGTGGGAAGGAGAGAGGGAGGAAGAGAGAGAGAGAAACATAGCTGTGAGAGAGACACATCCAGTGGTTGCCACCCACACGACCCCAACCGGTTTGGGGACAAACTGCAATCGCAGTAGGTGCCCTTAGTGGAACCAAGGCCTCTCTGGTTTGTGGGCGGACGCTCTAACCGCTGGCCCAAACCAGCCAGGGTGCTTTCTTTTTTATCTTTCTTCTACCAAATCTCAGTTTGAGGAGCAGTCAGGATAAAACTAAGCACATTCAATAAAATATTTTAATTTGGCCAACTATGTATTTAATGATGGTATAAGCTATAAAGAATAACTGAATGACACAGGAAAGTTAAAAGAAAATCTCAAACTGTAAGTATAGATTAGGTTCTCCTAATACTAAGTCAAAGGATCTGTTTTAATCCTGATTCCAACATGCCTTCTGTGTGACCCTAAGGAAATAAATTTTAATAATATATTTAATTTAACCCAATATGCCCAGAGTACAGTCATTTCAAAATGTAATCAATATACAAATTATTGAGATATGGTACATTTTTTTTCACACTAAGTCTTCAAAGCTGGTGTATATTTTAACTGTACAGTGCATCTTAATTTGGACTAGCCACATTCAAATGATCAATAGCCACATCTAACTAGTGACTACTGTACTGAACAGGGCAGGTAATCAAGAGGATAAAATCCTAACCCCTTGCCCTGGCCGGTTTGGCTCAGCTGTTAGAGTGTTGGCCTGCAGTCCTGAGAGACCCGGGTTTGGTTCCTGCTAAGGGCGCGTACCTCGGTTGCAGTTTGTCCCCGGCTCTGGTCAGTCGTGCGGGTGGCAGCCACTCAATGTGTTCCACTCTACCTGAACAAAAAATGGAAAAATGTCTTCGGGTGAGGATTAAAAAAACAAATCCTAACTCCTTAATCTGACATTCAGTTACTTCCCCAATATGATCCTTAGTTTTCCAGCCTCATCACCTATTACCTACATACATGAAACATAAACAAGTGGATCTTTTCTTTGTACTTCATCCATGATTTTGTTCAGATGGTTTCCCTTGCTTGTAGTACCCTAGCTCTTTTCTTCCTCCTATGAGTTTTATCCCTTCTTTAAGACCTATCTCTTTTATCAAACCTTTTATGATGGCCCAGTCCTTGGAAATTACTTTCTTCCTCTCAACTTTCATAGCAAGTCTGGTGTATACTACTCACTTGCACTCATCCTGTCCCACGTGGTATTGTTATACACTTCAAATGGGTGTTCTGACTTTCTAATTGGATTGTGAGATCTCTGAGGGTAGGAACACCTCAGAGAAACTAATCCCCAGCTATTTTGCCACATTCTCTAGAGTTCTAATGATGTGAATCTATAATAGGTTTGTTTCTCACTATCTTTTAAGAAAGTAATTTATCCATTTTATGTAAGAATTAATATTGTAGAAATATCAACTATGTTAGCATTGTGGTTAAGAGCATAAACTCTGGTATCAGACTGCATAGGGTTGAATCCAGACTCTGCCTCTTACTGGTTGTGTGAACAGTTTACATTAATTAATCTTTGTGCCTTGATTCCTTCCTTTGCAAAATACGAATAACAGTATCTCCTTCATAGATTCATTGTGAAGATTAAATGAGGTAATAGTGCCTGAAAACAGTAAGTACTCAGTAATGATTAGCTGTTGTTATTAATAGTGAAATAATTGTTTTGATATTCATAGCAGTATTTTAGGAATTTCCAAACAGAGCAATTGAAAGCCACCAACTACTGAATTGGAAAAATGAAACCAAATCCAAATGCTTGTTCAACTGTAGCTTGCAGGATAAATTAAAAGCATGGGCAAAAAATTCTCCATCCCTGTCACTAGTATAAACATAAGCAAGGTAGACATACATTAAATGTTTTATTTCAAGATGATTGTTCAAGTACTATATCTATAGGTAGACATACATTAAATGTTTGATTTTGAGGTGATTGATCAAGTACTGTATCGAAAGGTAGCTATAGATATGTACACAGAGATATAGCAGGGGTTTAAAACCCTTGGTTGTAGTATTAGTAAAAAAATCACATTTAATTTGTCGTTTTAGTATTTGCCTGTCCATAAACTAACAGAAGACCACCACACATTAACAAATTCTTAATTTGAGATTATGTTAGTAAATTGTGCTTCTTAATGGTGGATAATATTTACAATAGCTACAGTATACTTTTGCTACTTTTTCTTATGCTAGGATTATATTTACTTGGCTCTTTTACGGTTTCTTTGCCAACTCTTTTTTAAAATTAAATTTATTGGGGTGACATTGGTTAATAGGATCATATAGGTTTCAGGTGTAGATTTCTGTGATACAAGGTCTATATATTATACTGTGTGCCCACCACCCAAAGTCAAATCTTCTTCCATCACCATGTATTAGGTCTCTTTCACCCGCCCTCACCCCACCCTGTTCCCTCTGGTAACCTGCTGTTTGTGTCCAAGAGGTTCAGGTTTTTTTTTTGTTTTTTTTTTTATCCTCACCCGAGGACATTTTTCCATTTTTTGTTCAGGTAGAGTGGGAGGGAGAGAGAGGAATATATATAGAGAGAGAAACATCGACGTGAAAGGAACACATCGAGTGGCTGCCTCCCGCTCGACCGACCAGGGCCGGGGACAAACTGCAACCGAGGTACATGCCCGTAGCGGGAACCGAACCCGGGTCTCTCTGGACCGCAGGCAGACGCTCTAACCGCTGAGCCAAACTGGCCAGGGCGAGGTTCAGTTTTATATCTCACATATGAGTGAAATCTTATATGGCTGAGTAGTATTCCACTGTGTATGTGGACTGCTGCTTCTTTATCCAGCCCTCTTTCACAGAACACTTTGTTTGTCTCCATGCCTTGGCCACTGAGTATAATGCTGCAATGAACATAGGGGTGCACCTATCTTTGCGAATACATATTTTAAAGATTTCTGGTATATACCCAGGAGAGGGATTGCTGGGTCATATGGTAACTCTATTCTTAATTTTTTGAGGAATCCCCAGACTGTTTATTTTTTCCATCACCATTTATCCCCTCAATGCCCTCTTCCAGCTCCACCCATCCTTTCCACCCCTGCAATCCCTACACCATTGTCTGTGTCCATGAGTTCCCTCTCTCTTTTTTCTTTTTTGCTTAATCCTTCCACCCTACCACCCCACCAGAGCTGTCTGCCTGCTCTCTATCTATGAGTCTGTCTCTATTTTTCTTGGTAGTTAAGTTTGTTCCTTACGTTCCACATATGAGTGAAATCATATGGTACTTGTCTTTCTCTGACTGGCTTATTTCATTTAGCATAGTGTTCTCCAAGTCCATTCATGGTGTCACAAAGGGTAAAATTTTCTTCCTTTTTTATGGCAGAGTAGTATTCCTTTGTGTAAATGTACCACAGCTTTTTATCCACTCATCTACTGATGGACACTTGGGCTGCTTCTAAGTCTTGGCTATTGTAAATAATGCTGCAATGAACATAGGGGTATGTATATTGTTTCAAATTAGTGTTTTGGATTTCTTCAGATAAATTCCCAGAAGAGGAATCACTGGGACATAAGGCAGTTTCATTTTTAACTTTCTGAAAAAATTCCATACTGTTTTCCATTGTGGCTATACCAGTCTACATTCCCACCAGCAGTGAATGAGGGTTCCCTTTTCTTCACAACCTCTCCAACACTTATTATTATTTGTCTTGTTGATAACAGCCATTCTAACAGTTGTAAGGTGGTATCTCATTGTAGTTTTGATTTGCATTTCCCTAATTGCTAGTGAGGTTGAACATCCTTTCATATATTTTTTGGCCATTTGTATGTCTTCTTTGGAGAGGTGTCTGTTCAGGTCCTCTGCCCATTTGGGGGGGGGGGGTTGTTTATTTCGCCAACTCTTTTTTAATTTACTTGATCTTCTTTATCTCTGAATTTTTAGGATTTTCATATTA